CTCACCACAAAATCACATGAATATTATGAGGCCGATGAAATTCATATGAAAAATCACATACAATTAATGTGACCGCATAAATTTTATGTGTAATTCAGATGAATTCCATTAATTTTGATTATGGTTGAAAATCATGTGCGTTTCCAATGGGAGCTACAAGAAAAGTTTTTTCGGTGTGTGTAAACGCATACACTGCAAAGAATCTCCTTCTTATGGTCTCTCGTCGTGCCCGGTGTACAAACAACGCGGGGAGAAACTAGAACGTTCACTTAAGGAACGTTCCCGGCAGTTTTTTGCAGAAATGCTTAAGGCAGTCACGCCATCGACCAACGAAAAAAAATCCCTTTTCTCTCTTGTCAGATGACGAGACTGACTGTGACTTGGCTGAGGAGGGAACTTCTTTCAGTTTGCCGGAAGGTTCTGCATAGAAACGGAAAGCGCATCCGTTCGCTGAAAGTTGCAAATCAAGAACCCCAAATTAGCTTGCCCAAATCAAGGAGTGGTGGAAAAAAGGAGACTTCTACTCCTCCTGGATTCCGCAGAACTGACTACACCAAAGATTTTTCACCTCTCCCGGGGACATCTAAAAACCCGGATGCCCCAATTTTCAGAACAGAAGCCCCCTTCTTCATCTGGGTTGTTCTCATTTGATAACATTGTAGACGGTATCCTCAAGTATCTCGATATTTATGATTCTCTGAAAAGCATTGTTCTGGCAATGCTTCCTACTGTGAAGACACTCTTGGAGCAATTGACATTGAAGTGGCCCCTCCTTGCAGCAATCATTTCCTTCGATGGATAATTTTCCAAACAAGGTCGGGGATTTGATCACTGTTCTGCAGTGGAATTGTCGAAGTTTTCTTCCTAAATTAGAATCGCTTAAGTTTTTAGTTCACAATAATGATTGTGATGCATTTGCTCTTTGTGAAACTTGGCTCTCTTCAGATATCGATCTTCCTTTTTATGATTTCAACATTATTCGACTGGATCGTGAGGATTCGCGGGGAGAAGGGGTACTTTTGGGGATCCAAAAGTGCCATCCCTTCTATAGAGTGAATCTTCCATAATTTCCAGGTATGTATTGAAGTTGTCGCATGTCAGGCTAAGAGCCTTTGTATTGCTTCTGTATATATCCCTCCTAGAGCCGTTGTTAATCGAAAACAACTTTCAGATATATGTTCAATACTTCCTGCTCCACGGTTGATCATGGGAGATTTTAATTCCCATGGTACAGGCTGGGGGGAACTGTATGATGACAACCGTTCTACTTTGATATATGACCTCTGTGACAACTTCAATATGTCAATTCTTAATAATGGAGAAGTAACACGTTTGGCTGGTCCATCCTCCAATGGAAGTAAATTAGACCTCACACTTTGCTCTAACTCATTATCGTTGGATTGCCCGAGAAATGTGATCCAGGATCCCCACGGTAGTGATCGACAAATCGCCAACGATGAATTTTTCTTCATTTATCGTCAACAGTCGCTCGCCAGCTGGCAGAATAAATGGAGTGAAGGGAGTTTGGGACAATGGCTATATTCGATCATCCCTAAGGTGTCGAAGAGTCCTTGGTTCAAAGGGTTGGACTTGGGTTGAGACTTCATTCGTGTGATGTTTAGCCTCATGTCCAATCACTATTCTTTAAACTCTCACTTGTTCCGTGTTGGGCTGGGGGACAGCAATCTCTGTGAATGTGGACAAGGTTACCAAGACGCAGATCACATTATTTGGTCTTGTGCTGAGCATCGTGGAGTCAGATCTGAGCTGTACGATTCCCTTCGGGCTCGAGGTAGACAACCTAATGTTCCAGTTCGGGATGTTTTGGCTAGACGCGATCTGGAGTTTATGAAACTCATAAAACATATATGAAGAATATTAACCTTAGATTGTAGGTTTGATTAACTTTGTGTTTAGTTTGTATTTTGTGTGTTTGTTTTTTTTTTAGTTTTTGTTTTTGTTATAATATAGAGCTGATAACAAGTTGAATAGGAATAAGTTCATGTTTTAGACATAGTGAAATCTCCTCCTCCCTCTCCCCATCCATAAAATTGTAAATCTCCACTAACCTGGAGACGACCGCGAGTATTCGGTTCAATCCCTGAAACTCCAGATTTAAGATAAGGATTAAGTATGTACAACGGAAATGATAATTTAGCTCTGTAAAGTTTATTCAATTGATCCTGTACAAATAAATGAATTAATAAAAAAAAAATATGTGGGCAAGCAGTTATTCCTCCATTTATAAGCCCACCGCTATTTCCACCATATGAGCTGATTTTCTGTAGATTACTAATTTATGGTTCATACTAGTCACATGCAAAACGATTTGAGGTCAGCCATGAAACAACGGTGGATACCACTTACCGCATACATGGAGGGATTACTTTATGTCCAATACATGAGACGGTAGCTAAACATTCGGATTTTTTTTTCTCTATTACAGCCATACCCAAAGAACCATCATGTTCACTAATACAAAAAGTGCACTATAATGCTGATATAATGCCGCGAGTACACTTGTTTGACAAACTATGTGCGTGAATATTATTTGTATAATAAATTATGAGCACATCCATGGAGACACTTGTATAGGTTTTGGATGTGCTCATAATTTTTTATACAAATAATGTTCATAGTTTGTCGTAAAAATAAACGAGGGTGGATTTTATGCGATAGTTAAAATACAGATTTTTTTTCTGTTTCTGTTTTTCTTTTCAGTTTAAATAAACATCGACAAGTTAAATTTAAAAAAAAAATGAAATGTATGGAAACTGTTAATAAATTGAACTGCATTCACATGCCACAGAAAACACGACAGGTCATAAGTATTTAAACAAGCACGATTCTTGAGGAAGATCCCAACCAGCAACCGAAAAGCCGGAGCGAGTTAATTGAAGTTCGTTCGATACTGCTCAAGGCTACTGAGTCAAAATCTGAAATCTTAATCCTACCAATTCAGTCTAATACGTTCAAGTTAAGTTAAATATTTTAAAATGGTGTTCGATCAAAAATAATATCAAAATATTTTTTATTATATGAGTAAAGTGGGATTAAACAGTGGGGTAAAAGTACGATTCAGCAAGTTTGCTAACTGAATGACAGTTCTTGATAAGTTTTGCCACTATAAATACCCATGATAATGAAAAGAACATAATGAAACCACTTGTTTGTGCCACGATATTCCCAAAACTTGATAAAGAACGAAATGGCTCGAAGATAGTGGTTCTTGGCTTTTGTCACATTCATGATTGTTAAGAGTTGAAAAAAAAAACACAAACTAGACTGACTACCCGAACAAAGTCGGTTAACAAAATGAAAGCAAAACGATATTAAAGTGTGCAGTTCCTATCATAATGAAAACTCATTTTGATTTCAAATGTCGCGACATAAGTCTGATATCATATTGTGCTTTCATTATGCAGTCAAGACTTTTTAAATGAAAGCAACTTAACTTGAAGTTCTGCTGTTAACGTCTTGTTTAAAATTTAATTGAAGTTCATCTGTCGTTGAACTAATGATTATTGTTTATTTGTTTTGTTTAACACATTTTAGATCATTCGAGACTTGCCCGGGGTGAGATTTGAGCCCAAGTCTTTCAGCGTGAGAAGCATGAATGCTAACCATTAACTCCAGGCCCGTATTCAGTTAAACATTATGAATGCAAAATCAGTAATCAAATTGATTTCATTCAAAGCAGGATTAGTTTTCCGTTTGCTTCAACAGTGTAAAATTTTGCTCTCATTTTTGCTGTGTTAACCGTTAAGTCAACCAAAATGAGATCAACTGGAGTATTCAAAATAAGTTACATCATAACAGCAAATTTTGATTTCAATTTGATCTCCAGCTTTGCTCGGGTAGATGAACCATTCAAAATAACCTATCTGGTTATTTGGGTTGAAATGTATGGAGAAATAACATTCCTTCACTCTTTTGGTCATAGAACTGGTTCAGCAAACTCGATTAAGCTTAGAATTTCAGCTCATTTTGCTTGAACTATAAAGAACAACTTTGCTCAAGACTGTATTACGATTGAATTTAGTATTATTTTTCATTAATTGAATTTATATGGGCTTTTTGTTCTGGTATTGCAACAGGTAGTGCAACGTATCAGCTAGATTACCACTCACAAAATAAAAGTTCATATTTTTCACAGACCTACATCTAGACTCATGTATTTAGGTAGATGACCTAAAGTTTAAGCTGTTTTTAACATTCACGGACCGGCGCTTTTGGTTTAATTTTTATACAGGGGATTTTGTGCAAATGTTCCTAAACAAAATGCTCATATACATTTAGAGACGAACATCTCGATAAAACTAACTGGATTCATGATGCAGTCATTAACAACGTTTTAATCATTTAATCGAAAATCTGATCAAATCGAGAATAAGGAAACTTTTTTAATGATCGAAAGATTGTAGGGGTATCATTTTTTTTCCAAATTCTCAATACAAAACTCAAACTAAACGTACTCCCTTTGGTCAGCCCCCTTTTAGAACATATTTACGAATGTTCTATATTTGGAATTACGGATATAAAAGTCTGACACGTGGAGCGGCAAACAAAATCAATTAATTGCTGTATAAGACATGTGAGTGTAATCCTGTGTGGGTATTTGTGACGTTTGGTGTGTAGGGTAAGATGGGGCTAAGTGATCCCTCGGGGCAAGATTACTTTTTGCAAATTTTGAATTTTCAATATATGTTCGTAGCAAATTCCCAAAAATATATTTAAAATGCATTAAAAATTTGTAAAAAGTCATCTTGATCCGCGGATGCATCTTGCACTATACTGTTATGAATGAAATCGGGAAATTGAAAGAAACTAATGCTTAGTATGCTTTAAATCAAGTTTTAAATGATTTCATATGACTCGAAATTATACTTTTTATTATACTCCGTTAATGAATCTATCCTTTTGTTCCACCGTACTGTCAACTCAAAAATATGCAATAAATTTAAAAGCACTCACGAACGTAGCATCCATAGACAGCTTACCTGGATCGTCATCGTCCTCTGCCCAGTCTATCTGCGCCCGCGATTTGCCGGTAAAGTGTAGCAACAGCATCATCGTCACCAGTACCACCACACTCAGCATCGTTAGGTCGTGGCAGCTCCGTTTCCACATATTTTATTCAGAATAATTGCACCACTTCACTAAAAGCCAGCTTGCGCTAAATTAATTTTTAAGAGCTACTTTGAAACTCTTTTTTCTTCTTCTACTGCTTGCTTTTCCACTAGCTATTTTTTCCTCCTAGCCCTTTACTCTTCCTAACACTATCCTTTTTCGCAAATGGTTATTATTCCGTTCCAGCACTTTTAGTTCCACTATTACGAGACTACGGTCAACCGCTCGTTCAAATCACATTCAACGCTGAGAGCAATCCTTCGTCTCGAGTTTTTGCTTTTTGCCACTGTGGCAAACACCAGAATGAAAATGATTTAATTTTGCCACCTTTACCACTCATTATTTCATCTCTATATATGGGACTACTCTTGCAGGTCTCTCTTTTTTTCGTTGTGCACCCTTTGCTGGTGTATTATTCCTCGATTACTAGTTTTATGGATTTTCCGTTTTCAGTCAGATGCAGTTTTCCTGTACCTATGTAGAGGCGTCGGCACCGGGTATCGCGTGCAACGGTTTGTTTCGGCACAAAAAGCTTTTCTTCCAGACCGTCTTTTTTATGATACCTCTCTATCTAGTCGATATGATGGTCTCTGTTCATGAGAACAGGTGAAGTCACAGTGCCTGTAGAGACAATTATTCTGCCGAAATGTTTGCCATGGAAAGAGCCGCGATACAGTGGCCAACGAGTGGTCCGATGGGAACCGACTGGAAGTGTAGATTAAGCATTTCATAATCGCATCAGATCATCTGCCATACGGCTATCACCCGTTTCATGTGAGCGGGAAGCAAAGCTCTTTGGTTGCTGTCCGTTGGTTGGCCACGTTTGGTTTTCCAGACCACGGCAACTCTTCTGGGTTTTGGATCACTTCCTCACATTGGACGATGACGGTGGTGATTTTGGTGACAGTCCCGGACCGGACTACAATAAAAAGGCATAAATTCCATACACTTCACCACATTGAAAACCCGACAAAGTGGAAATAATTCCCAGCTTTTTGTTCGGTTTGGTCTTAGTCTTGTCTCTCGTTATCTGCTTTTCTCGTAGCTGACGGAAAAGTGTCGATTTAAACGTTGAAGAACGACAAGGATCCACGCGTTCCGTCACTTTTGATTCCGGGTTGGGTTCCACTGAAAAGACACAGAAAAAAGGACAAAAAATAAATGCAAATTTCCTTCCACTGCTACATACCGATGAAAACAGGAATAACGAAACGAATAAGATATCCGTAAGGTCATAAATATTGTTATTAGATTTATGTTTATTCAAAAGCATTATCAAGGAATGAAGTGGCTGCTGAAAGGAATTCCTAATGGGCTCGAACGACATACACAAAGAAGAGCAGCCACAAAGGCATCGCTTTCCAGCCGCCACAGCATCCCCCGGAGCCTACGAGTCTAAAAAATAAGAAGAAGAAGATGTCAAGTGCATTTATAAAGACGCCAAATAAAACAGCAAAACGACGAGTGAAAAACCAACGAGTTGCTCTGCCGGAGGGTGATTGTGGATAAGATTCAAGGCGGAAGAGAGAGTGACAGCGGGATGAACAAAAAAGCCAAGAACCCCCAAAAAACCACCACAGGGCTAGGCAAATCTTGATCTGAATAAAATAAATATTTTGCTGTCCTATTGTCGTGCATTGAAGCAGACGTGGGAGTTTCCGATATGCCAAACGGGGCGCAACACGAGTGGGATAAAACCAAGCTCAACACGGGTTTAGCTGGTACCCCTCCCAATACTTGTTAGCTCCGTGTTTGCATTAATTCTAATTTTTCCGCTTGTTATTTATTCAGTGAATTGGGAACGTATGGATTCGGTTTTTTTATGTTGTTGATAGTAGAACATGCCGCTAGCGAGGATACACTTATGGTGAATTTTGAGCAGAAATTGATTGAGATCATCTCAAACAGTTGAAGTTGTGTAACGCGTAAAAAAAGGTTTGACATATCCGCCCATCAGGTATACTTCATTCGAATGATTTCCACAAGAAGATAATTTTTTATTACAAATTGTTATCCCTTCGAAGAAAAAAGAAGTAAAAATGTTCAAATCTACACCATACGACTCACGATTCTTTTTTTTTTATCTCAGTAAAATCCAAATAAAAGATACCTCGGTTTCTGCAGTAGAAACTTACCAACCTTATTTGCTCTAACGTACCTATCTAGCCTTTGTATTAAACAGTTCCAAAAGTTTGGTTAAATTTCTTTTAAATATTATGCACACATTAATGAAGCGTCACATATCCTACAATTTTACATCATATATCATGTAATTTTATATCTCAATAAAATTGTTGAAAACATGCTTGGCGTACGAAACGCAAGACTAAAATTTAACTATGTAAATCAATATACTGAGTTTCGACCAAAATGTAATAATTTCGTTCCAATTACCTTTAAACAAACCTTCTCTACACACTACGAAAAAGGCATGTAAATTTCGATGCCCTGAAACCGACACATGCAAGCGGCCCATATGACATAAGAAAGAAGAAAATCAATTCAATCACACGCAATTTTCATCGATCTGCACATGTTTCGGTATCGGAGCACTTAATTATACATGACTTGTTTGTGTATTTTTAAAAGGTTTTATTGCTCCAAAGTATACCTTTAATGTCCATCTTGAAGACAAATGTGAAAAAGTTGGGGTTAAGTCTATGTGAAATTTGAAAGAAAAAAGTCTGATGCGTGGAGACTCTCTGGAGATGCTGACTAAATGGGGAAAGCAGTGTATTTCAAAACAATTGATCCATCTATTTAGGCTAAATCCCAATTAACAAGAAAAATTATTTTTCCCTTTGGTTTGTTTTCCGTCAATCTTGTTTTCCGTGCTGAGCACCAATGCTACCGACGCCAGTGAGGCAGCTCCCACACCTGGACCCTACCTTTCGACCTATCAACTCATGAACCGGGGACCAACGGCTTTACTTCCCTTTACTTCGTGATCAGAGATGTTATGCCTCAGGACATCCCAAAGGCGCCGACTGGGATTGAACTCAGGCCTGCTGGGGTGAGAGATAATCACGCTTGCCACTACACCACCGGCGCCAACAAGAAAAAACTCTATCAAGTGAATGATGATAGTAATTTAATTGATGATTGCTAAACGTTGTGAACAATCTCAAGTGTACATACAAAAATTTATAATTTTTTTTAGAGCGCTCATATTTTCAAAACGTTTTGAAAAAGAGCATTGTTATTTATTGACATTGTTCTCCTTTTTCTCCAAAACTCAAGTAAAATTTCCCCTTTCCAACTTTTTGATTCGGATACCCTATATTGAACTCCCAGTGAAATGTCAAGAAAATAATCAAAACATACCCAAACATTGTCCGTGCACAGCTGGATATAACTTTATGGCAACAGATTTTAAGGATTAAATTGTAAACATTTACCATTATATTGTATTTGCTTACGCCACCTTATCTACATTCCTTCTCATCAACGATGTGTGGAAATGGGTAAGACAATTATATGGGATAAATTTGTCTTTAATTGACCCCTTCCTTCAGTGGACCACTAACGGACACTGAAAAAAGTTTTCATATAGTTTCCATTGGGAACGCACATGATATTTTTCCAACAACAAATTTAACATTCACATGATCACATGAATTCTATGTGATAAATCACATATTCCCAATTACGTGAAAGTTATGTGAAATTCTAATGGATATATTCCATCGGAAATGTGATTTATTTTTTGAGTGGATTAATGCAGTTTTATAGAGCAATAGGAGTGATTCACAGGTAACCTCCATCGAGAAAAGCTTTTTCCAAGTCATCTGCATCTAATTTATATAAAATGTTGCTCGAATACTATTTAAAACAAGGTGAAAATTAAATTTTAATAAAACTTAGCATTTTGATTCTGTGGAATTTTGTGGAACCTATCCAAATTTGCACTTCTAGTTTTCACACGTGTAAATATTAGAATCCATGTCAGTATTTCTATCACATTGGATTAGTTTCAGCGATGTTTCGAATTTCGAGTTACGTTTTATTCCACCAATACCTTCTATGAAACGCATACCCCTACATTTTAATGTGACGCACTCAAGGAGCTGTCAAATAAACAAATTGGACCCTTAGGGCACGAAATCTGATTCAGTCCTTTAGTGAATCATTTGTTTTTGATGATATTTAAGCATAATTTGAGACATTTCTTACTGTTTATGGACTACATTTAAGGTGATACTCTAAGGAAGCCTTAGCGTGAAACTTCAAAGGCACAAATGTCAGCTTCCACAAAACATACAAATTTGAAATTGCTACTCTCTATTTGTAGTAGCACAGCAAACAAGGAGTAGCAATTTCAAATTTGTATGCTTTGTGGAAGCTGACATTTGTGCCTTTAAAGTTTCACGCTAAGGCTTGATTAGAGTATCACCTTAATGTCATTCAACCCATCTATAATTTCTACCTTGTATCAAGCTGAATTCTTATGTTAAAGATGAATTTCTTCTTACCGGTCCATCATAGGATGTAAACAGTCCTATACACTGGCGTGCACAAAGTGGGGCAAGGTGGGGCAATTTCCCCACCTTTTATAAATAAGATTTTTATTTCCACATTCACAAAATTATGATATAAAATAAATTGATTTCTTTATAACTTGATTTGAAGGTAAAATTACTTCATTTCATAATATAAGGGCACTGAAAACCTTTTATTGCATCAACTCCTTTGAGATGGTGTCTGAAAATAGCACCATAAAGGTGTATGAAGGGTCAAACTTCAAACCACAGAGGTGCATACAAAAAATTTCTGATGTAATTTTTTTTCTAGGTGGCTCATGGAGAGTTAATAAAATAGGGTAAATTTAAGGTAGAGAAAATTCACCTTCACGGTGGTTAATCGAAAAAAAAAGCTTTTTATTTAATAGTTCTGGTGTAAAAATATAATATAATATATGATATTTTTGGAGAATACAGAGGAAATTCTTCTGAAATTTTAGGGGAATTTTAGTTCCAAGGTGTTCTGAGAAAAAAAAAATCAAAAATATTCCGAGAAGAATCTCAAAGATATTGAATTTCTAAGGGCAGCACCAAAATATTTCTGGAGAGAGTTCAAATAAAATTCTGTGGATAATTTCTAGTGCTTGCTGCAGATAGTAAGACAATTTCAAAAATAATACCGAGAAAATCAAATATTGAGTGAAATTTGAAAGGGATTTTAAGCGAAATTTCAAGCAAATTCTGAGGATAATTTCTAGCTTATTCCGGAAAAAAATTCTGAAACTCTAAAGGAATGTCAGTTCGAAGGTGTTCTGAGAAAAAATCATGAACAGTTCTAAGTATAATTCCACTGGACTTCTGAGAAGAACTTCAAAACTGCTCTTAGGATAGTTCTAAAAAAAATTGAGAGGAACCTCAGGGATATTGAATTCTGAAGACAGTTCCAACGGATTTCTGAGGAGAATTCCAAAAACTTTCTGCGAATTATTTCTAGTGAATCCTGCAGATAGTTCCAAGATAATTCCGAAAAGAATACCGAGAAAATTAAATTTTGAGTGACATTCCAAATGGATTTTCAGGAAAATTTCAAGGGAGTACCGATAATTTCTAGCTCATTCCGGGAATAATTTCTGGATAATACTGAGGAAATTCTTCTGAAATTCCAAGGAAATTTTATTTCCAAGGTGTTCTGAGTAATAGTCAAGAAGAGTTCTAAAAATAATTCCAGAGGACTTCTGAGAAGATTTTTAAAAGAGCGCATAGAGTTCTAAAAATTTCGAAAAGAACCTCAATGAATTCTAAGGTAGGACTTTTTTGCAACTGTACAAAGTTTAAATACAGCTTTTGGATTTCCTAATTTAAAAGTGGGTATAAGTTTGCCATTGAACCTTGGTGTATTGTTGTCTTACGAAGAATTCGTCTAAGACTCTGAAAATTTCTAGTCATTTTTTACCGTGGTTTAAAAGTTACAGCTGTTTATGTGCGTTGCAATAAGTTCGGGATTGTCCTCTATATCATCTTGAAAACATGTTGAATGTTCGGCATCCCGACTGGCGGTACTTAGGGACATGGTGGATATGCTTAATCCTTCGCAAAAGTCGTCATTCCGTTAACAATCCTGTACTCGCTTGTCAAAAAAGTTTTGTGCGCTTTTGTTCCAATCGTTAC